AGATTAGGAAACAGGATAAGAAATTAGAAAATATTGTGAGAGCAGTGATTGATATGCGAGCAGTGCTAGTCTTTCTTAAAAGATATTGTAACAATCTGCAAGATTTAGTTAGATTAAGGGACTATCAATCTATTAAATAAGCTTTTATGAGTCAACGGCTCTTCCCTGACATTTCTGACTGGATCAGTGGATCCAGATCAGCAAAGCCTTGTAGGTGTCAAAGTAGAGTTCCAGGGATGCAAAATTGCTTTTGTTAACTATTAGGAAGTCTACAATCATCTCATGGACAATCCATGGAAGCAAATTTAGGTTTAATATAAAGAAAAACAAGCATTCCCTCATGCCTCCAATGCACTATCTTCTAATCTCCCTTCCTCTAGAAGTTTTGAAGCAAAGAATGGATGATTTTTTGGTCTGTTATTTGTATGAGGAATTCTGTCTAAGATGTTTTGCAATTCTGAGACTTTATGATTATGTGACCAGATATTTTTAAAAGTCCATTCTAATTTTTAATTGCAATGATACTAGCCTATATATACGTAATAAGCAGAAAGGACTACTCATCCTTTTGACCACTTTGATGAATCTCTGATCTCATCAATTTGGGTATTTTCTCTCGTTATAGAGATGGCAGTTCACTAATGTCTTTTCATTATCTGCTATTCACGTCTACCCAAACAGATTGGTTACCTTTCCCTAGTTTTCCTGACACTGAATGCATGATCCCTCTAAGTTTGCTATCAGAAAAGTCCACTTTTGCTGGAGCAGAATATATTATGTGTCCGCTGAAGTAAAAAAAAAAGCAGGGGTAGCAATTCTGATCTCAGACAAAGCAAAAGCAAAAATAGATCTAATCAAAAGAGATAAGTAAGGAAACTACATCCTGCTAAAAGGCACCACAGAAAATGAAGTAATATCATTACCAAACATATATGCCTTAAATAATAAATAGAATATATCTAAAACCTTCAGCAAGCATTATATGTAATGGGGACAGGCTAGAAGCATTTCCAGTAAGATCGGGGGTGAAACAAGGATGTCCATTATCACCACTGTTATTCAATATTGTAATGGAAACCTTAGCTTTAGTAATGAGAGAAGAAAAATAAATTGAAGGGATTACAATAGGCAAAGAAGAAACAAAGTATCACTCTTTGCAGATGACATGATGATATACTTAGAGAATCCTAGAGAATCAAGTAAAAAACTACTTGAAATAATAAACAACTTTAGCAAAATTGCAGGTTATAAAATAAACCCACATAAATCAACAGCATTTCTATATATTACCAACAAAGCCCAACAGCAAGAGATAGAAAGAGAAATCCCATTTAAACTTACTGTAGACATTATCAAATATTTAGGAGTCTACTTCCCAAAACAAACCCAGGAACTCTATGAACACAATTACAAAACACTTTTCACACAAATAAAATCTGATCTAAATAATTGGAAAAACATCAGTTGCTCATTGTAGGCCTAGCTAATGTAAAAAAATGGCAATTCTATCAAAGCTAATTTACTTATTCAGTGCCATACCAATCAAACTACCAAAAAATTAATTTAGAGAGTTAGAAAAAAAAAATAACAAGATTCATTTGGAAAAACAAAAGGTCCAGAATATCAGAGGAACTAATAAAAAGAAATGCAGGAGAAGTCCTAGTAATTCCAGATCTTAAATTGTATTATAAAGCAGCAATCATCAAAACTGCTTGGTATTGGCTAAGAAATGGGGGAGGTGGATCAGTGGAATAGGTTAAATATGCAAGACACAGTAGTCAATGACTATAGTAATCTAGTATTTGATAAACCCAAAGACCCCAGCTTCTGGGATAAGAACCCACTCTTTGGAAAAAAACTGCTAGGAAAACTGGAAAAGAGTATGGCAGAAACTAGGCATAGAGCAAAATCTCACACTATATACCAAAATAAAGTCAAAATGGGTCCATGACTTAGACATAAAGGCTGATACCATAAGTAAACTGGGAGAACAAGGAATAGTTTACCTATCAGATCTATGGAGAACAGAAGAATTCATGATCAAACAGGAGATAGAGAACATTAGGAAAAGCAAAATGTATGATTTTGATTACATTAAATCAGAAAGTTTTTACACAAACAAAGCCAATGCAACCAAGATTAGAAGGAAGGCAGAAAATTGGGAAATAATTTTTACAACCAGTCTCTCTGATAAAGGCTCCATTTCTAAAATATATAGAGAATTAACACAAATGTATAACAACACAAGCCATTGCCCAATTGATAAATGCTCAAAGGATATTAACATACTGTACTCAGGTGGAGAAATTAAAGCCATCTAAAGTCATATGAAAAAATGCTCTAAATCGCTATTGATTAGAGAAATGCAAATCAAAACAACTCTGAGGTACCACATCGTACCTATCAGATTGGCCAACATGACAAAACAGGAAAATGAGAAATGTTGGAGAAGATGTGGGAAAATTGGAACACTAATACATTGTTGGTGGAGTTGTGAAATGATCCAACCATTTTGGAGAACAATTTGGAACTATGCCCAAAGGGCTACAAAAATGTGCATACCCTTTGATCAGCAATAGCCCTTCTAGGGCTATATCCCAATGAGATCAAGCAAATGGGAAAAGGACCCACATGTACAAAAATATTCATAGCAGCTCTTTTTGTGGTGGCAAAGAATTGGAAATTGAGAGGACGCCCATCAATTGGGAATGGCTGAGCAAGTTGTGGTACATGAATGTAGTGGAATACTATTGTGCTATAAGAAATGATGAACAGGCTGACTTCAGAAAAAACCTGGAAAGACTTATATGGTCTGATGCTGAGTGAAGTGAGCAGAACCAAGAGGACTTTGTACACAATAACAGCCATGTTATGCGATGACTAATATTGTTAACGGAACCCTTCTCAGCATTACAAGGATCTAAGACATCTTCAGAGGCCTGGGATGGGAAATGCCGTCCACATCCAAAGAAAGAGCTATGGAAGTCGAATCGCTATCACTTATTTTTACCTTCTGTTGAGTTTTGTTTCATCTTTCTGATGGTTCCTCCTATTGGTTTTAATTTTTACTTGCAACTTCACTAATGTGAAAATATGTTTAATAGGAATGTAAACGTAAAGCCTATATCAGATTGTGCGCCATCTTGGGGAGGGTGAGGGGAAGGAAGGGGGAGAAAAATTTTCAACTCAAAAGCATATGGAAGTGATTGTTGATAAATCAAAATAAAAATTAATAAAAAAGAGAAAAGTCCACTTTTATATATAGTCCATGATTCAATAGGTGCGACGCACTTCAAATCTTTTAAGGAAATTATATTCCAATGACTCATAGCCACATACCATCACCAAAAGTAAATAATTGTTGAAAAAATAAGAACTTAATCCACAAAAGAGACTGCTGTCATTACACTGCACAGTTTCAAAAAGGCAAATCATGTCACTCTACTTTCCTACTCTTCAAATCTATGCCTAGTTTTTTGTTCAGTATCTGTCTAATACATAAGTGCTAACTGACCTACTCCAACTGTATAATTGTATAATTTAAGCCTAAACAACAGATATTCTTCATCTACTAGATTTTTCCTGTGGATAGTTAAGCCAAACTCTTGAACAAATATGAATCTCATTTAAGTGGCTCTGAAATGTTTTGGTGCTTGATGTAATGATGTTGCTCACAAAAAGGTACAGCTGAAGAATTTTATAAAGAAATCCCATCAGGACTCTCGTTGGATATCCTCCAGGTTAGTGGCAAAGACTTGGGAAACATTCATCTGTTTTATATGTTGGCTAATGTGAAACACTCACTGTAGAAATTTATTTTTGTTGTCAGATCTATCAATGAGTCTTGTAATATGGCAACAAAAACAAGAGAGATTCCTTGTTAGATCAGTTTTCAAAGCTGTACTGAATCAAATATTTTCAATAAACCATTGCTGCATCTTCTGTTCTTCTTTTATTCATGACAAAAAAGATGAGATTATATTTGCAAAACTCTGCCTATTTCCTTCACATACCATTAGCACAGAGAGCTTTAACGTATGTAAATTATTCTCATAAAGGTTTTGTTAAGATGAGAAAAGAAGTAGGACAGCAGTTGCTGATATATTCTTGGTGACTTCTTTCTAGAATAATAAAATCCATAATCATTTTATCAAGCCTTTGGTATTTTTCTGTCTTTCAGATACTTTGAAAATCAATCCTTTAGTGTCTTTAACCTGTGTCACTCTAGGATAAATATATGTGAAGTTCTGCCTATCATGTGTTCTCTTCTGTGCCATTTCACTTGGAATCATGGGAAATAAAAGTGTCTGTTAAAGAAATCTCAGAGATTGCAATTTTTGTTCATTTATTATATGCTCTTCAATTTAATTGCTAGAAGTCTTTATGATGGTCCTTCGTGTGATTTAGTTTTATTTGTTTTTTCCACTGAACTTTCTAGAAACATTAGCTTACTTATTACCTAAGAAGTTCTATGTTTTAGAAAATAAAATATAGGAAAACAATGTGTTCTATATTAATGTAAATTATACAAAAATAAACAACAGAAATGAAGTTTTGTTACTTTTAAGCTCAAAGAATGTGGAATAATCAAATAAGGTCTAAGCAAAATGGTATTATAATCCTTTTAAAAATTAACATGCTAAATAATTTCATTAATAGATGCTGGGTAATAAATACTACCAAGGGTATTAAAATATTAACATTTAAAAAATCTTTAATGAAATCTTTACACAACTTACATAGAAAACAAATCTGTTTTTAAAATTAAAGGTCAATGTATACCCTATCAATCTCAATGATCTAAACTACGGACTTAGTAGGTTCTGAAATGATGAAATCTTAATTTAAACTGTAACGTGACTTTAAATTTTGTCAATAATAAACCCACTGCTTCTCCTGCCAAGAAATTCACCTAACCCTAAGTAAATAGCTGACATCATATTACCAACATTTTTTGATCCTTACATAAATACAAAAGTTTACTTCTACATTAGACTCACTTTTTTTCTTTTTTTACGGTCATAGATGAAATGCTGGCCAGCTCATCCTTCTGCCCTTCACCACCACCTCCAGATTTGAATTCCATACTTTAATTACTTCTACATTATCATGTCCACCTGAACTAGTTCTTTTTTTCCCTTTGAACTTTTTTTCCCTAGAAAAGAGTATGAATTAAAAAAAATTTGAATCTGTAATATAGGGCTAATTATAAAGTAAACCAAAATAATTTCTCGTGTAATGTTACAGAAATGTTCCTATATTTCCTTCCAGGTTTAAATGCTAGATTTTTCCATGATCCTATCAAAAAAAGTTTTGCTTATTTAACATACATCATCCAAATAAGCAGGGCAGCACCTTTTTTAGAAAATTAAGTTTAAAATAAATATTTAAATTTAAAATAAATATTTTTCTGGTAAAATATTCACGTTTCAATTCAGAAAATATGTATTTCTGGAAAATGCACAAATTTTAGCTTTGTAAAGGACTTAAATGGGGCACTGCTTATTCTACAAAAAATTTAAACTTTAATACAATATTTTATAGATTCAAAGGAACATAGATTGAAAAATATTAAGTCATTATTACTACTCTTCTATAAGTACTCTGATTTCCTTTATTTGTTAATTTTTAAAATTCCAAGAAAAATAAGGAGACTAAAAAACAAAAAAGGAAACATTCAAGATATCTTGAACTTCTAACTGCAAATTCTATGATCTATATGCATATGAGTATCAGTATATATAAATGTATATATGTGTATATATGCATATGTACATACATATATTATATACATAATACACGTCAATTTACAAACTATAATAGTGAGAATATACACATATGCAGATCTTCTTTCCTAACCAATAAATGTTAGAGTAAAATTCAGTATGATAAGCTATTACATGAGAATGATAGCTATTTTTAATTTTATTATTATTACTATTACTATTTATGGAAGTTTGAAATGACAAAAATACGCAGCATTTTTATACAAACAAAAATTCTATTTACTTAGGATAATCATCTGAACTTAAACTCATTGAGGTTTCATCAGAATCTGATGGTATGAATTCATTCATCCTGTCTTCATCAAAATACCCCTGAAAGGAAAAAAAAATACTTTAAAAAATTTGCTAATCATTAAAATTTATCAAAAATGTTATAAGATTTTTTTTTTGCTTATTTCTCTTACTGTAAAGTGCTTAAGGCCTTTGCGTTAGTTTCACTCTCTACCCCCCAACTACTTAAGGGACAGTATAGATTATGGGCCATGGAATCAGGAAGTGTTCATTCTACACTATACCTTCAACACTTAGGATCATTGAATAAGAGCTAAAAAGATCCTTAGACATCATTTAGTCTAAACTCAGACTTTTGAAAAATCATGCAAGTGGCACCTCCAAAATTTGAAAAGACATGGTTGCTGTGCTTTACCACAATGCCACGCTTCCATTCTGCAATGTGTAATCCTGTGCAATTAACTTAATGTCTGTGAACTTCGGTTTTCTCATCTGTAAGATGGGAGCAATCGTATCAGTAGCACTAATCTCGTAGAGCTAGTCTAAGTTTAAAATGGTGGTCATACATGTGTAGTAATGTATGTGTGCCCTGCAAACCATAAGTTGTTATATAAATATTATTACTAGTGCTTCATGCATAATTACACTGCATTAACTGCACTTTTTATACTTCCTAAAAATTAGAAGATACTATTTGCTATGTTCTAATAACCTCTGTAAAGAAGGGATTAGTATTATCTGACTTTTTTACCCAACCCCCGTAAATAATCACAAGACTAATACCATAAAATGCAATCAAGTTTTAATGCATTAGCAAGTAGACTAGCTGAACAACCTGCTCCTGTATGGGGGATTTATTATATGAATATCGGAGTTTTTAACTTACTTGGGCAACATTTATTCTTCCCCACATGTGTGTCATTACCATTGTAACCTAGATTTGAGCCTACTCTTTAACCATCACTGTGTGTAAAATATGGCCCTGGAATTGTAGAGGGTTATTTGTTTTAATTACTATTCCATACTATCTTAGCAAATGGCTTTCCTACAACTATCTTGGCTGACTGTTAATAATAAACACTATGTAGAGGCTCAACTCTAAAATGTAAGCACAAGCTGAGGAAGCAGCCCAATAAATAAAAAGTATTACAGGTAAGGAGTAAGCTGATGAAAATAAACTTTGCATAACCCCTACTTTTCAAATGATTATTCGCAAAAAAAAAAGGTTCTAAAATGTTTAGAGAAACTTGGGAGAACTAAATTGAGTGATATAAGAACAATTTATACAAAGAGGTAAATTAGACAAACAACTTTGGAAGACTTAAAAACCCTGATCAATGCAGCAGCCAGCTCTTAACTCCACAAATCTTATAATGAACTATACTAAAATGTACTGAAACTATACTGCCCTCTTTTTCAAATAGTTGCTGGACTATGGTGCAGAAATAACATTTATGTATGTAGATTTGCAGTCAAATATTACACAGTTGAAGAAGTAATGTGCTAGTAACTTGGGAATAAAGACTTTGAATACAAGGTTTTGAAAGAAAGAAGTGAGGATTTTTGTGGATGAAATCAGTACATTCTAAACATATGTATGCAGTGCAAAAGTACAGGGCTTAAAGATGTAGTGGTAAGAAAGATTTTCTTGAAGCTCAGTGTGTATAAGAATTATAATATATGAACATGGAAAATACGTTAGATTTGTTTGTAAGGAATTTAAACATCAAATAGTGTAGTATACATTTGATTCTAGGGGAAACAGAGAACTACTTGAGATTAATGGATGGGGCAGTAATTTAGTTAGACATATTGTTAGGTAAAATGCAATATTGGTGATGATGGCCTGAATTGAAATGTTAAATGTAAAAGGTATTTGGAATGCAGATATGCCAACATTTGACATCTAAGTAGTATGAAAGATAATTAAGAGCTAAAGTTGATGCCAATGTTACCTGGAAACCAAAAGTAAAAATATTGATACTTTCAATAGTGGCAGTCCAAAAGAAGTAAGACTGGCTTTAGACATGATGAATTTGAAAAATTTCCAGTTAATTAGTATGGAATGTCCAGTAGGCAACTGGTGATACTGAAAACTCAGAAGTGAGACTAATATGGGAAACAGGTAATCAAGAGTCATGGGCAACACTATAGAAGGGTCAAAAAGATTGAAGTTTAAGAAAAGACCATTAAGTTTGACAATTAAGAGATTTAGTAATTTCATAGAAATAAGTTTTGGCTGAATAGTGAAGGCCAGATTATACAGAGTTAAGAAAAGTTAGCAAGAAGGTAGGAAGGACCTGTTGTAGACAGCTCTCTCAAGAAATTTTGCTGCAAAAGGAAAGGATGTGACAATACCTGGCAGGAATAGATAGATCAGGCACATTTTTTGAGAATGGGGAAACACAGACATGTTTATATGGAATAGGAAAGAGCCAGGAGACAGGGAGAGAGTGAAGATCATTAAAAGAGTGAGGATGACATTGTTTCTAATTCTTCTTTACAACATGACTAAGTTAAAATAGGTTCAATATAAATTTATAAGCCTATATCCAACTGCACTGTGTCTTGGGAGCAGAGAGATGGGAAGAAAATTTGGAACTCAAAATGCTGAAAACTATAAATAAATAGTGAGGATAATAGAGGGAGAAACACTGGAGAAAATGAGATGGAAGGAAATCAGACTACTAAATAGATACTTAAGTATGAATATCTAATTTACCTTGTTTTCTTTGCTAATATAGTCCAGCTGTAAGCACCATGGATGAGTCCAAATTCTGCTTAATATTTGAAAGTCCTGGAAGACTTTTGCTTCTGCTTTTCCTCTTCCTCCTTCACTAGTACTTCCTTTTCCTGATAATAAAAGGCATTTAAGTTAAAGTTTAAAATGTTCAAATTTTTTCACTAGAGGAAGTCACCAATACCATTGTCTGGAGTTACCTCCATTTCAACAAGAATCTAAATATATCTTAAATGTTTAATAGATTTGGAGGGAGGTAAAACTATTGACATCAAAAAGATCTTATTACTTGTAACTCAATACTTATTAGAGAAATATATGAAATACAAGACAAGAGTTGCCTATAGAGAAAAGATGATAAAAGTTTACGAGTAGGAAAAACAGCAGATGCACAACTGTGTCTAGATCAAGGTTAGAACCTGGAAAATCTAATTGTGAGATGACTCTAGAATACTAGAACGTTTTTATTTGGAATCATTAATTCACTTTACAATTTTTTTTATGATTACATAACTTATTTAATACCATTCTTTCTAAACACTTCCCATCCTTTTACCAGCAATGGCTTTCATTACTATTTTTCACAATTACTGATTTTAAGTACAACTTCCTTTCCTCTGTTACTTTTTCTCATACTTTGATCTTTGTGAATAAAACATAAATCCACACTACTGTATCTTGGCTAGCTATCATCATCATCATCATCATCATCATCATCTTCACTAGTATTTATATAAAATCTACTATGTTCAACACATTGTGCTGAGCACTTTACAAATATCTCATTTGATCCTCAAAACAACTCTAGGAAATAAGTTATTATGCACATTTTGCAGATAAGGAAATTAAGCAAGTCGAGCTAAGTGACTTGCCCAGAGTCACAAAGAAAGTAACTGTTTAATGCTGGATTTGAACTCAGGTCTTCCTGTCTGTAGGCCCAGTGTTCCACCTAGCTTCTCTGAATTCTTATGCCCCAGTGTGATGTAATGGACATTTAGAACTAGTTAGCCTATAAACTGAATATTACCACAACACAGAACCCACCTATCCTCAGCTTTCCTATCACTTACATGCAACCTTGGTGTCAATTCTCAGTTCTTACTCATGTACTTCACATGTACAATCACCTTCTAAATCATTTTCACTTCTCTCCAATCTGTTCTATTCTTTTAAACTACATAGATACATATCTTATCTTCTATGGTCTTTCAATTAGTCTTACTATTTTACCTCTCACCATTGCAATCCAATCTTCACTGAAAAGATATCTTAGATATTATTCCTCATTTGTTAGATTATGTATTTGTCATTTGAGAGGTTTTCATAATATCAAATCTATTAATAATAAATTGTTATTTTCTTTGTTACATTTTAAGTTCCAAACTGTCTCCTTCCCTCCTTCCTACTCTGCACCAGAGAAGGACATCATTTGATAGATTTATAAAGATATGTAAAACTATACTATACATACTATTATTTGTTGCTTCTTACTCCTTCACAGGTCCTCTGTAGTTGATTTAAGTGTTTAACAGTAAAAGCCACATTGTGCGATGACTACTATTGATAGAGTTAACCCTTCTCATCAGTGCAAGGATCTAAGACATCTCCAAAGACTTCGTGATGGAAAGTGCTATCCAAATCCAAAGAAAGAACTATGGAGTTTGATTGCAGATCGAAGCATACTATTTGCTATTTTTTTTCTTTCTGTTGTGTTTTATTTCCTCTTTCTGGTGGTTCCTCCTATTGGTTCTAATTCTTCTTTATAACATCACTAGTGTGAAAATATGTTTAATAGGAATATATATGTATAGCCTATATCAGACTGAACGCCATCTCGGGGAAGGAGGTGAAGATGGAGGGGGAGAAAAATTTAAAACTCAAAAGCTTATGGAAGTGATTGTTGATAAATCAAAATAAATTTAAAAAGAGATATTTTCTTCATCTATTAATATAATCAAGCTGAGACATTCCTGATTCACAGTCCATCACTACAAGAGAAAAAATGCTGAAAGAAAAAGAGAAGAGTCTAGGACAGTAATATGGAGAGTAACAACAGTTAGGGAAATGATGAATCAACAAAGTAGTATAGTCAGAAGGATAGGGGAAATAGCTAGAAAGGTAATAAGAGAATTAGGCATAGAAGAATCATGACAAAGTTACATGAAAGGCAAAAAAAGAGAAAATAATTAGAAGAGGGAATAATTAAGTGTTAAAAATTTTTTCAGAATCAAGAAAGAAGACAAAACCATTGATGAAGCTATGTAACTGCAGGTGAGATAAATTGTCAATCAATAAACATTTATTAAGCACCTATTATTTGCTAGGTATTATGCTAAGAACTAAGAATGCAAAGAAAGGTAAAAGACAGGCTTTCCTCTCAAAAACTTGTAGTCTAAAGGCAGAAGTAACTTGCAAATAAGTTATATATTGGAAAAATTTGAAAGTAGTGACTAGTGGGAAGGCAGTAGAAATTAAGAAGGATCAGGAAAGGTCTCTTGTGGAAGGTGAGATTTTAAGAGGGATTTGAAGAAAACTAGGGTTATAGATGCAGGAAGCATGCCAAACCTGGAGAACACAGAGAGAAAATGCCAAGAGTCAGAAGAATGAATGAATGTACTGATCAAAGAACAGGCCAATGTTAATGACTGAAGAGCACAGGGAGGGGACTGACAAACTGAATGATTAGAGAGGCCAGGTTATAAAAGGCTTTAAATACCAAATTATAAGGAATTTGGGGGGGAACTCCAAGATTTATATGTGTAAAGGGAAATAATTAAGGCTACAAGGAAAAAATGCAAAATGACAATTTAAAATATACAATCACTAAAAGACGTCAAACTCTGCAATTTTAAAAATAAAATAATCATTTTAGAGACTAGATAATGGCACATATATCTCCTTTAGTCTATGAAAAAAATAGACTATAGCAATTAAGACAGAATGTTGCATACATTGTCAGTAGGTTTTGCTTAAATATCTTCTTTGTCATTTGAGAGTTTTTTATTAATTTCTAGTATTTTCATATTTTGATATAAGTATGCCTCTGGTAAAAATATGCCATGATAGCCAGGTCCAAAATTTCCTTACTCATTTATCTATATGAATACTCTACAACACATTTTAGGATTCTAGTATAGTAACATTTCCCTAAAGATTAAACATGTGAAATGTTTAATAACTCCAGATACAGTATGTATTCACAATCAGAAAACCTACCTTTCTTTACCTGAATTTCGTTAGCACTTTAATAAATCCCCCCTTTCCTACCAACTTATTTCTGAATTTTTTTTATCAGAATATCCTGTGTCTGTTTTCTAGGGAAATATATTATTATAATATAATTATAATTATTAATTAATTATTAAAAACAAATCTTGTTTTTCTGTCACTGCAAGTTTTGTAGTTGTGATAGTTGTTGAAATAAGATCTTTTTTAAAATAAAGATTTAAAATATTTTTAAAGCCCGTGTTTGTGGAATACTTCTGATCCGCCTATATAGTTGCAATATACACTATAACCATTATAGTCTACCAAGTGTTTCCTAGTTTACCTTTCACACAAAACTGTCATCAAATCCCTTACAGTGAAGCTCATCATTACTACAAAATACAGTCAGATTATAGTCACAATATGTTATTTCAGAATGATTTGTAAATACAAAAGACGTTAAATTTTTCTTACTGGGGAACTTGTTTCATTCTGTACTTCATTCTGCACTATTCTTAAAATGAAGATGGTATGAGATACAACCAAATTTTTTAAATAACAATGTTATTTGAGTAACAAATAAACCCTTATAAATTAACATGAAAGAATAATCATACAAAGTAATTAATTTTTTTTTTACCTGTTAAGTGGTCCAAAAAGTACTGGTAAAGCTTGCACTGAATAGAAGTCGTTCTTACTGCTAATACATATTCATGTTTTGGGTGGTAAAAACTTTGCTAATGCTGTGCAATCTTTCCTCTGTAAGATAACCAAATGAAAATAAATTATGTTCTCATAATAGTAATTAATTCTGGTATATTCTAAACTCCAAAATAGCCTAACTCTCAAACTTATAATCTCTTTAACATAATCAGTCGCTGGTTCTCTTAGATTTAACTTTAAAAAATGATCTTTTCTATACTAATAAAAAAACAACCTGATTCCAATGAAAATAAATTCTCTTTTCACTATCCAACAAATGGTCCCTTCTGACCTAATTTTCACCATGCACATAGTTCTTCATTTTCTATTATCTTGCATTTCATAAATTTATTACATTATCTGTACTTAAAATTTCTCATGAAGACATACCAAATTTTGACTCCCCAAATGGTTCTCTTCCTTCACTTTTCACATCAACAAAACTGAGAGATTTCAGACTGGGTGGCTTTCAGTAGTCAATGTTGTGGTACCTACAACAGTGCTAGGCTGCTTTTTTCCATAGGGATTGTTTTGCAGAGGCTGTCCAGATGGTTCTGTTTTTTAGAAAGTCATAAGATGGTCAGTTTGTCAGTCAGTCAACAAACATTTATTAAGAGTCCATCATGTGGCAGGCAATGTGCTGGGTCTACAAAAAAGAGGCAAAATAACAGTCCCTGCCCTTAAAAAGCTCACAATCTAAGAAAGAAAAAATAAGCTAACAATATTGTAAAAACAAGAAATGTACAGAATAAATAGGGAAATTATTCAAAGAGGAAAGGCAACATAATTAAGAATTGGAAAATATTTCCTATAGACGATGGGATTTTAGCTGCAGTAGAGAGTAATAAATCACTAATGTTTATACTACATGCCAAGCCTAAAGCACTAAGCACTCTACATATAGTATCTCATCTGATCCTCACAACAAGCCTATGAGCACATTTTACTCTTGAGGAAACAAAGGCAAACAGAGGTGAAGTAACTTTCTAAGAGTCCTAGGTAGTAAGAATTCAAGGTTGAATTTGATTTCAAGACCAAGGGAGCTGAGGTCCTTATCTGAGATAAAGAAACTTTAAAAATTAATTACTCTGAGAGTAACCATCCCAATCAAAAGTGCAGTAGGAGGTATAAATGTCCAAAGCTAGAGAGATGAGTAAATCAAAGAAAGCTTTCATCAGCATAAATATACATATATATGTATGTGTACGTGCATAAAAACTAGAGATGCC